AAAAAAAAAAATACTGAACTGAAAGAACTCAATTCCAATAGCAGAGGTGATTAATACCTATATTATGACAAAGAGCCGACATTTCAAACCTTGAGCATGAGATAATGTGGTTAAATAATAATGGGGAATATGGCAAAAAGATCCAAAATGAACTGTCCACGGCTATGTCGTATCAGTTTAACAAACTGTGACACCTTCTTAAGATGATGACGTTTCTTTCCTTTCGATCATAATTGGCGTTAATACAATATTAAAAAAACCAAAGAGTTGTCGGAGAACACAATAAGTGATATTTTAAACTCCTGCTCAATTACAAAATCGATGCACAATATTGCGCTATCACATTCTTTAATAAAAATGATCAAATCTAGCCCGCAGAACTCTTTAAGTTCTTCTGAAGATGCTAAGATGAATAATATCAAAGGATCCCTAACAGAAAATCTAAGGTATTTAAGGAAATACCTATTTTATCCTTGTTTTGCTGGTTGTGTTATTCTTTTCATGAAAATGGTAACTCCAATGAAATACGAGCTAACACACAGCTAATTTAATATTCTCAAAAAGATATCAGAAAAATCGCATTAAAATGACAGTCCTAAATCTTTTCACATATATATAATGTGTATATAATGCGGATAGATAATTTTTCCTGATCTTAGTCAGATCATCAACCGTTTGCTTGGGAAATTGAGCATGGGAAAAGAAAATTAAGGATACAACCTTTAAACAGTTCATGTCCAAGAAGATACATGATATGACATAAAACTTACGACTTAAAAGTGGGGAAACTTCTAAAAAAAACCCTTTAGCTCTAAGGACTCCACCTTCTAGATACAAATAGCATTTAGAACAATGAATAAGGAGAGATGGAAACATGCTCACGCAGTGTCTGGACGAATTCTTCTTTTTAACAAAATCAAACAAAATGAACTAAAAAGTCACTCAATCAAAATGCCATTAAAGATCTAAAATTTGTGCCGCAAGTAAATTATTGATAATCTAAATAAATAAAAAAAAAAAAAAGTGAAAGGATTCAACTCTTCACAAGGGCGGCAGACAAAGTAATGGAAATTAATGCAACTAGTAGTAATTAGCTTATGGAACTCAAACTTACAGGAACTGATGCTGGTTTACAGACAGTTAAGACATCCGGTTCACAATGGAGAATCTGAATATTGTTCGCCAGAACTGGGGGTTCGTGCCTACAGCCTTCAGTATGTCAATTACTCTAATTAAGTTAATGTCATTAGCGAATAAAAAGAAGATGACAGTCATCAGAGTACAAGTCAACAGGATAAGAGAATTACACTTCTCAACATTCAATCATAAGAATAAAAGAAAAGGGAAAAAAAATGATCGTAAACCTACTCAGAGCATGCGAAGAAAAAGAGTGTGAACCTGTGCAGAAAATGGCTTATCTTTTGTGATGACTGAACTACATATGATATGGGTACAATCTGTCCATCAACTTGTATACGTCCAACCTTCACTGCAGACACCTGTAGTCCACTTAGGGAATCAAAGACTTGAACTGGAGAACTGTGTACAGAACGCACATTTTGTGTATGCCAAGTCAAAGAATATATGGAACCAATTACCATGCTCAAGGCTGGTAAAACCACCACTTTTATCCCTTTCTTTACAATACTCAAAACCATAATGAAGTTATACAAACAGATCTCCCAGCAGCAGAATATATCAACCATGAAAAATTCAAGCTCTCATCATAAAACCAAATATTATAGTCATAATTATTTTATGCGTGGATAATGCATTCAAATTTCAGCATAACAGGATGTCGATGAGGGCACAATAGAGAAAGGAATTTGTTCATAGCTTGAATCAGACTATCCTTTAGTCAACACACGTGAGGAAACAAGAAATGTTCAATTATGGGCATGCACATATAACAGTTACTTTTGTCACACAGAAGAAAGATGAAAGCAAAACTTCCAGCACACTACTACACCATCCATGTGGAACCATACTACATCCAGAAGATAACTCAGGAATCATTTCGGTCAACATTCATTCATGGAAACATGCTAGAATTTGATCAAACAGAATTGAACAAAAGAACAATAGCATCAAAAAATGCCCGATTTAAAAGGCATTGACTAAGAGAATTCACCAAAATAAATAATAAATCTGGAAGTCTACAGTGTTTCCAGCAAGGATTAGCAAACGCTAAAATCTTATCCCTGTTTCTTCGTCAATAATTACACAACCACCACAGATAGCAAGACAACAACTGTAGCTACATATTTATACCAGCACTAATCAAGAGCTCCTTCAACTTTGAAAATTCAAAAGTAAACAAACTGGAGAACTCATACATTTTATTTTTACTTCTCACTCACGAAAAATACACAATTCACAGCAAAATTGCCATACAACACAAGCACACAAGACGTATCATGCGAATACTAAGAGCACATTGTTGATGTTTAAAAAATGACCAACAATGTGTTTGAACTGTATATTCGTTTCGGTCTGCACGAATAAAAATTTGTATGGGATTCGGTATGAACTATGGAACGAGTAATAGTTCTATTCGTGACTTTTATTGTATTAAAGAGGAGATGAGGAAGCTCCGAAAAAGGCTGTCCGAACTCGAGGCTCGACGCAAAAGCCTAAGACAAACCGTTTCAGCATCACAGGACCGAACCGAAACCATCCCCAAGCGAACCGTGACAACCTCACGGGAACGAACTGAAGTCATTCCAACCGAGTCAGAATCACCACTAACGTTTGATATTTTGCACGAACGGTTGTCGGAGAAGATCAAAGTCCCACATATCGGGTTCTATGACGGGAACTTCGACGCAGATACACACATTGGGTTGTTCGCGTCATGGATGGACCTGCACAGAACACGAGATGCCCTACGCTGCTGGATGTTCTCCCTAACACTGGGGGAGAAAGCACAACAATGGTACCATTCGCTACCCCCACATTCGGTCCACAGTTGGCCACAGCTAAACTCGATGTTCCGACCCACTTCATTGGTTCGCAAGCGTGCAAATCTCGAAGGAGTCAATCACCCATATTGTCCAGGGAGCGGACGAGAGCCTCTCAGCTTATTCGGGACTGAGACCGAACTCAATGTTTCGATGGACATTGTGCCACAACAAACCCAAACCTACCATGAATTTTTATGAAAGCCCAGCAACATGTGATTGCGTAAAAGAGTGTCGGTACCAGCGTTCGGGGCTACGAATGAACCACAGGTGAAAACCAAAGAACCCAAGCCGAATAAGGAGTACCAGAAAGAAGGGAAGACGGCTCAGATTCGAGCATTACAAAAGAAGTACCATGAAAAACTAACGAACAACTACCAGAGAGTCTATTCGGCCGGGGCGGCCGTAGTCTATGAGGAACTAAACAACAAATGCATAATACCTGATCCGAAGCCGATTAAGGCTGACGAGGAGCACTTGGACAAATCCAGATACTGCGCGTACCACAAATCCCACGGTCATAATACGGACCAGTGCAGGAACTTAATATTTGCTCTTTTCAAATTGATTGACGACCCGGAGGTTAGGAGATTTACCAAGGCAGCAGGAGGCAACCGAAGACCCAGAAACGAGGACCACATGGAGCTCGAGGACGAGCCAGATTACGAACCGAACCAACAGAGGGTGAGGGAGCATCCTAAAGAAATTCTTACGATCAGCCAAGAACAACGGGACGAGGCCAGTACGTCCGGAATGAACCAGAGGAAGAGATCCGTATCCATCCGAGATGGAGAACATTCGGCCCATATCCCGATCAGAACGTCCCGACGGGAAGAATCAACACGAGTCGAGGAAACGCAGGCATATCCAGGAGACAAGTCAAGGCGTATGCCCACCGAGTGTACAGCACAAGACACCAGGTCAGCCGTGCAGAAGTAAGGGAACAACTACCCGTTCCCACAAACTTCATAATGTTTTCGGACGACGATTCATATCCGAATGATAACCCGCATTCGGATGCATTGGTGATCACGACCCGATCCTGCATATTCTTGTTCACCAAATCATGGTGGATACTGGCGCCTACTCGAGCATCCTATATTACACCGCCTTTCTTAAGATGGGGATTGATAGAAGAGAACTTCGCCCGTGTAACGACCAAATCACGGGGTTCAACGGACAGGCGACCCTACCAGAAGAAGGCCGTTGAACCCCATGTAACTTCTGGTAGGGTCGCCTGTCCGTTGAACCCCGTGATTCGGTCAACTTTTCATTCACGGAAAACATGCCATTTGATCAAATAGACTTCAACAAAAGAACAATAGCAAAAAAAATGCCCGATCTAAAATGCATTGACTAAGAGAATTCACCAAAATAAATAAATCTGGAAGTCTACAGTATTTCCAGCAAGGATTAGCAAACCCTAAAATCTTATCCCTGTTTCTTCGTCAATAACTACACAACCACCACGGATAGCAAGACAACAACTGTAGCTACATAATTATACCAGCTCAAATCAAGAGCTCCTTCAACTTTGAAAATTCAAAAGTATACAAACTGGAGAAGTCATACATTTTATCTTACTTCAACTTCACGAAAAAATACACAATTCACAGCAAAATTGCCATACAACACAGGCACACAAGACGTATCATGCGAATACTAAGAGCACACAACAGGCCAAACAAAAATCATTCGGAATTAGACGAGACACGATTAACCCATGGCTACAGCTTATACCAATTGAAGCACATCAAAGACAAAAAGGAACGAAGAGTTACACATACATAGTAATCGCGATCACGCCCTTTAAATTCATCGGCAAACAAATCAACAATCGTCTTCCCCGCCCACCTGTTCTTAGCCTGCACCCAAATTCCCACAAAATAAATAAATAAAAAAAAAAAATATTTCACACCCAAAATTAAGCTCTCCACATCAATAAAGCAGCTCTATAAACAAATTTAAACAGACAAATCTACACTCACTCACATGTGAAATGAACTCAAAATAGTAGGGCCGTACGTATCTTATGCCTGCAGAATATTGAATATAAACACTTGAACACAGTAGTAAGTGGAAATAAATACTCCATAGCAGCACCCAATACTAGGAATTACGAGTTCAGTGATTGAGATTTCGATGTACAGTAAATTGTTACCGTCTCGGAAAATGTAGTCGCGGCGTTGAGGATGAGTTGAGGGGGTTTGCCACACAATCTCCATCTAATCGTCTACTCCGTCGATTTTGAAAGACTTTAGGATTGGTGAAATATGAGTATTTAAAAAAAAAAAAAAAAAATTAAAGGTATTAATTTAGATTTAGATTATAAATGAATTCGGAAAATTCTTAGAGCATGCTTGGATAACAAATAACCATACCAACTTTTTCAAAACTAACTAAACCAAACAAATAATCAACTTTAGTTATTTAATTTTAAATATTATTTTAATATATCCACTAACAAATAACCATACCAACTTTTTCAAATCTAACCAAACCAAACAAAAAAATCCAAACAAAACCAAAAAATTTTATATCCCTCTTAAAAATTTTGAGGTATTCAATTTGGACTTTTCAAAGTCCCATAAAATTTTAATTTCTTTTCCAATTGTTTGGGATTTGTCATTTCGTTGGATTTAAAGAGATTTTAATGGCAAAGTATATATATACCAAATTCTATCACAGATCCTCTCTATAAAGATATTTCTATTCTACTGAAGTCATTTTTGTTCTAATTGAAGATACAAATTTGTTGTTGGATTATAATAATTAGGTTACGCATTTCTTTTTTTTTTCCACAATTATTCATACTTTTCAACTCGTGCAGAACTCGAGTGACGTACGTGGTGGATAGTTTAGCTTTATTATTATATTTGTCAATAAAAAAAAATAATAAATAGAATAAAAATAATATTTATTATTGTTAAAACTCTCTTTCTTTCTTTTTTTCAAACGATAGAGATGCTCATAAAACTAAAAAACAACATTACAGAGTTCAGGTACATAGATCATAAAAACAAATACGGGCATCACCCGAATAAATCACCTACCAAACAAATGAAAACTCGAGGGCCTAAGCCAGAGAGAACCACTCAAACATTGGAGTGGCCTAGAATCTAACCAACTAAATCAGAAAGCTAAAGCAGTAGATCAACACTGAAGGCAATAGCTAACTCAAAAGAAGACAAACAAAAAGACACAAAAGAAACACCTGACCCTAGAAACTGAACTGAAAATCAGACTAACTAGGGACAAGTCTGCTTCTTCTAATGCTTGCTCGTAGATCCACAGCTTCTTGCCAATCCCTTGTAGCTGCTTGTACTGTGAGAAGTTCAGGGTGTTAAGTGTTTTCAAATTGCCACAGATTTCTTGATTTCCAAAGCCACCATAATATATAGGTAGTTAATTGGATTCGGGCTTCAGAAACCATTGATTTATCTACAGAACACACTTGGCTCCACCATTGCTTGAACCTGCTTGAATATGCTTCAATACCCTCCCAACTGATTGGAGCAAATTTCCAGACTAACTGTGCCCTTTTGCACTTAAAAAAGACATGTTTGATTGTTTCCTCCTCCTCACCACACCCTTTGCAAATGACATCAACTGGCACTCCTTTGAGTTTCAAATTCACATTTACTGGTAGAATACCATTCATACATTTCCACACAAAGAATTTGAGCTTACCAGGAACATGTTGAGTCCAGCTTCTTTGTCTAACCATTTTAGCCCTGCTAGCAGTTGAACTTCCTTCTGCCATGTCCATTTGGAGAATCTTTTTTTGCATCAGAAAGGAATATGAATCTGCAACATTGAATCTTCCTTTTGTATTAAACACCCAGCTCCATTTATCCTCTTATGTGGGATTCAGAGAAGTCATGCTTAAGATTTTTGAACAGTCTTCCTCTTGGAATATTTCTCTCACTTTGTGGCCATTCCATTGAAATCCCTCTTCATCAATCAACTCACTCACTCTCCTTTGTCCATCCCTCTCCTCATCTCTAAGCATTGGCTTCCTCTTCATTGCCACTGAGATCCGGTTAAAGTCTTGGATTCTAACAGTTGAGCCATTTCTGACTTCAATCTTCAGACCTTCTGGAGCATCCACTTCACTTTCTCCCAGCTCTTCCACTGCCAAGATGAACTGCTGTTGTTTTCAGCTTCAAAAATTGAGCTCTGAGGGAAGTATTTGGATTTTATAACTCTGCTCATGAGTAATTCCGGCTGTGTGATTATTCTCCATAGTTGCTTCACAAGGAGAGCTTGGTTGAACAACCCAATATCCTTAAATCCCAGCCCTCCATGATCTTTGCTAACAGTGACCTTACTCCAACTTCTCCAATGGATACCATTTTCTCTATCTCCTCATTTGCTTCACCAAAATTGTGCAAACAGGCTGGCAATCTATTTACATATGCCCACAGGGAGTTTGAAGGATGTCATAACAAAAACTGGTAAAGCATTTAGAACTACAGAAACCAACACTGCTTTGCCTGCTGAGGAGAGATACACATTTTTCCAGTTTATAATTCTCTTTCTAACCTTTTCCACAACAAAACTGAAAACTTCTTTCTTGATTTGGCCAATACCTAAGGGTAAGCCCAGGTATCTTGTGGACCTCTGAACTTGAATACCACTTAGGATATGGCAAATTGCAGCTTGCTGGTCTACAGAGGAGTTCTTGCTGAAGAAGATGGATGATTTGGTCATGTTCACTTGCTGCCCAGAGAAGCTTTGATATTTCTGAAGTAATTGCTTT